AACTTAACAACAAAAACAATAATTAATTAATTGTTTCATTTATTCTCTAACTCTTGTTTTAGTTTCACTTTTATTTTTGTGTTAGCTCTTAGACTTCATCCATTATCTCTCTCTCTCTCTCATTCTCTCGTTAAGCTAATAGAATATATGAAAACAAGTCTAAAACAATAACGATTGGATGCATTCAATGATAGTAAATATAACTTATAAATTATATTGTGTTTACTTATCATATGCTTTGCGTATTAAAACAACAAGAGATTAAAATAGATTTGTTTGTTATCTAATAAATACAATAACTAATGATTAAATATATTGAGTAAAGAATTTTCATTTATCATAACAACTGGTTTATTAAAGTTATATAAAATCTAATGAGCCATTAGTAACGACAAAGACTGAATACTTCATATATGCACTCAAATACTATTTTTAAATATTTAAAAGTTTATTATAATTGTGCAAAATCTTAATTTTTGTGTGAATTAATTGTGAATATTGCATGTTTTAATGTGAAACACTTGACAACATATAGAGCATAGCTATGATTAAGTGCAGTATACTATGTGTGAGAATAGCATTCATACATGTATAAGATTAGGGATATGTTGAACACGTATTGAGACTTAAGACTTATATATTTTTGCGATAGAAAGAGACTAACGAAACGGTAGAGTCGATCAAACAAATCGATTTGTTTTAATTAAAAGCCTTTTCTATCGGTTTCTCTCACACTCACACTCTTATGGACTAACAGTAATATTAGTAATAAATGTGTTATAATTTGTTTTGAGCGCAGATTTCTTTGACTTATATTTACTCACAATTTATATTAATGTTTTCATTTCTCTCACTCACAGAATCATTGAGAAGTAATGTGTATTTCCGCACCTCTTTCGACAAGTAATGCATACATTAATAGCGAATAGCATTTATTTATCCAAATGAGTCTTAAGCTGTCAAAAGAGTTTAAGTAAATGTCAAACAAAGGTATTAATGGATTGCCGTATAAGTACTGATTCCTTATATAATAAATATTTCATTTCATTGTGAATATTATATTAAAGTATCAAATGAGTGAATGAATCAAACGCTTCACCGAATCACTAATGCATAAACAAATCCCTTCAATAAAAATATCAATAAATTCATTGCAAACACATTTCTACACTTATTATTAGTATTCATCTCATATTATATTAACAATATTCATATCAATATTAATGCTATATTTTATTATACTTCACTAATTAATGTTAGAAATATTAATAATAAATATTTTTATTTTATTTAAATTTTTCGAAATTATTAAACAGTAATTACAAAATTTAAATCAATATAAAAATAACAAAATGTATTCAAAAATCAAGAAAACCAAAAAAGAGTTGACTTTCGGACTCAAAGCGGAGATCTAATGGCAAAACAGTTTTTGTCGAATCGATTAATGTCTTAAATAAATGTATCAATAGTTTGGTCTCAATTGGAAACCATTGGACATCAAATGAAAACCGATATCTATTGAGCTCAGCGTTCACTTCGTTGTCATTACTCTTAAATACATTATACAAAACCGATGTCTGGTTTGAAAACTCGAGTCCAAACTCTTTCTTCTGGACATCAAATGCATCGCTAATTGATGTCTGAATTAATCGTGAATTCAATACATTTAAAACTAAACTATACTTTTTATCGTTGCTTTCAAACAGAAATTTTGTGCCTATTTTTTGGTCAATAATTGTCATAATTTGATCCAAAGTGGACAGAAGTGGTGGTCGTGTCATGTCTTGCGTCTCATTAGTGTTGTCTTCATTGATGCTTAACATGTGGATGCGTTGATGGAGATCATTGACCGGATCTTCCGAGTCGTGGCTGTGATTGTGACAAAAAAACTCGTTTACTATTTCAATGTTGACGGGAAGCGATGTCTTCGGGATTATCCGCTTCGGCGGTATGTCTAGAAAAAAGGAGTTATAAATTATATCATAATTAAAATAACAATTAAATTGTTAATTAAAACTAAAGCATTGAATGTATGAAATATATACCCATTTGAGCGGATGTTGTGAACCAAATGTTGAGACAATGACTGGTATTATAATGACATCGAAATGCAGTCAATGGTCCCAAACATGTGATCCGCCGGTCATTTGGTGTGACTTTGAATGCGATGTCTTTGCCATCGATTGTGACGCGAATGCAGTGACCGGTCGTCTCAACACTCATTTGTGCCACACTTTGGCTCTCATTAACGCATAAATTACACGACAATTGACTTAAATTGTCATTAAATACACAAAACAAGCGAAACATCGCGTCTTCAGTGACTCTTCACTACTCTTTAGACACTTTCAAAACAAAATTCAAAACAAAACTTTATTTTCATTTTTCAGTCATTTGTTCACAAATAACGCTGTTTTGCAAAATAGAGCCCATATTCTGGTGACCAGAATCTGGTGTAAAGAATTGACAATTATGTGCAAAATAGTGAACCAGAATTGACTGTTAATAGTTTACGCCGAGAGTACACTGTATGCGGATTTATTATATACCAAATTATGTGCATTTTAATTGCAACCAATACTAAGTCAGTAAATAGTGTGCAATACTATTAGATTGTATTGCATTTGATATTGAAATCATTTGTCCGGTAATGATATTAAATTTAAATTAAATAAAATGCCGTCAATTCAGTTACAATTCATCAGTTTTTAAGCAAATGTTTTTTAATTAAATAATTTTTATTTCTATTATATTTAATAATTTGAACTTAAATTCAATGAATAAAAAAGAGAAATATCTGTAAATATTTAAAAGGTTTTAAAACGTCGAGAGTTAGGATTGAAGTGATGATCGGAACCAAACAAACCAAAGCAACCGTTCAATTGATTACATAATTGGGTAAAATCGTTGATTTGATGGTAATAGCGGTGTTTGACTCCAGAGGTGTAAATGAAATGTGGGATCAGGTCTGAGGAGCACTCGCTCTCTGGAGTACTTGATAACAAACTTTGAGTGATTGACACAAATAAATAGGCGATTATCGCGACAAACTATGCGAGCGCTCCCGACAGTCGTTTTTTGATGCCTCGCTTCCCCTCTCCCTCTCGTTCTGGCTCTCAATGGCGTCCAATTCGTGTAAACGGTATTCGAGCGGCAGTTTGCGAAAGAACTGGTGCTCCAACGAGTCCTTTAGCGTTAGCCTATGGTTGGGCTCGTATTCCAACATTCGTGATATCAAATCAAACAGCAATCGGTGGTCCTCTTCGTCCGACACCATATACCTGTGCAAAGGCTTACAGTTCTCGCGTACGTATCGGCCATTCGATGACTTCTCGTCCCAACTGAGCCTTCCGTGATAGAAGTAATTCGTTCTGACAAATCACATACCATTCACATCATTAGTTTTGATCCACTTTTGGTTCATTTAATCAACAGATTGTTCAACAAATGTCTTAAATTACTTGGTTTTGCGACACATCCTATAGGGAAGGGGTCCGAGAATCCTCTCCATCATTGCCAGGTGTTCGCGATTGTCATGCGTTTGAAATAATGTTATTCCTAAATATAATTCAAATAAAATACATCCAATGCTCCAGACATCGCACGGTTGACTCCATCCCAATTCTAGTATCACTTCGGGTGCCCTATAGTGTCGGGTGGAGACGATCGTCGAGTGGTGCTCGTCGTCGAAAGTGGCCGAACCAAAGTCTATCAACTTTATATGACTACTCTTTATTCGCTTTACGTCTCTCTTCTGTAATACAAATACAAATTTATTGGCAATTCTTTAAAACTTTGTAAAAAACAATTACTTTTTTATTATTATATAAAACATCGTAATCGGAATCAAAAAATAATATATTCTCTGGCTTTAGATCCGTGTGTGTCAATTGGTTATCATGAAGAACTAGATATCAAATAATCATAATTAGTGTAAATACAGAGTATTATTATATCTATTATTTGAACATACATTTAACGGAATAAACCATTTGATAGCCAATATGTCGGACCTGTTCTAAGGTGTAGGGCTGATAGTTGTTGTCTTTCTGTCGGTTCAATACAATAGTTTAGTGCAAGTGTTCAATGAAAAGGTTGTGCGAACTGACCATAAAGTCAAAAACAGAGAGCCCTAGCATTTCAAATGAGAGACACATGTGTCCGTGATAGTCGAACCAGTCCAACATCTTTACGCACAGTCTGTGTCAATAAACAACACTATGTGTCAGAAATACAAAGTCAAATGTAAACACAATGGTAGCCATACTTTCTGCCGTTGGGATCCTTTTCGGCCATCTTCTCGAGAACATTGATCTCGAGTTTAGCCGCATCTCTATATTTCTTCACGTTTTTAATTATCTTCAAAGCCATCACTTGTTCGCTAAATGCACAACAAATTGAATAATAAATTTTTTTATTCTTGGAATAAAACGCAAAATTTAATTGAATGCTAAATAAAAATAAAGCAAAACTTTTACGTAAAAAACAAAAAAACTTTCCAAAGAATTGAGTCAAAAAGTAATGGTATTATTCTTAGAGATGTAAATGAATGACAAAAATAGAGACTTTGATTATATGAGAGTTAATACAAAAAGTAAAAGACAAATAATAAGACACTGTTTGGGAAGTTTGCCATAAAATTGTTAACAAAATATTACGAGAAATCTTATTATAAAATTCAATTTTGAAAATTCCATTTAATGAGTAAAAATTCAAGAATAGATAGAAATATATAGAGTTTGACTTACTTTCTTAAATCAAGTACACGAACCACTTTACCAAACGTTCCCTCTCCCAGAGTGGACAGGATTTTGTCTGTAATATTCACATCAAAAATATAGAAAACAATTAGATTTTTGCATAACATTTGCCTAAAAATGCATTAAAAACTCATCAAACAATAAGAGTCCCTCAAAAATAAAACTTATATTAAAATATATATAAATTTAAAATGTAAAAAACCCAATACTGGCCCTCAGATCATAGATAAAAATAAGGAGTAGAGAGTATAGTGAAAAGAGAAGCTGCAGTTCAGCTAACAGTCCTAATTGAGAACGACATAAATTGTACGGCAAATGACTTAAGAGATCTGTGTTTGTGTTTGTTTTGAGTGTTTGTATTGAGAGAATCTCTGACTTTTTTGTGAAAGGCTTTCAAATTCTCTTTTAATTAGTAGTAAATAAGTCTTTTATGTTTTTTGTGTGTTTTGTTTTTGTTTGTTTGTATTTCAGTACATCTCTCTTGAAGAACATCTCCAGACTTGTAGATGAGGTGTCCGTCGTCGTCATCTTCAATGCTTGTGGCTCTTGAGTGCGACTGTTCTCGTGGTGTCTATCCATCCGATCCAATACCACATATAAGTAATGCATTTCATTCATCAATTCATTTGCAATTGGCGTCCAATTCGTTGGCCAAACATAACAGCAATTCAAATGTCATTCAATATTTTCAATTCATTTGTATTGTTTGTTTCGTGTCATTCATTTCAATCGGTTTCATGAGATTTTCAGTTTCAAAAATCGAGATTCAAATCGTGTGTTTGTTTGTTCAGTCATTCCGATTCACATTCAGTTCAGAGAATATATGAATACAAAAAACGAGAGAAAAGGGGCGAAAATAATGGATAGTTTCGACAATCCATACATATATTTATATCAAAAAATATTATTTAAAAAAATTATAGCAATTATTAAGACAGAGAAAAACGACGCCTAAAACTACATTAAAATACAGTTAAAACACTAACTGTTCATTAGTTATGCTTTTGATGTTTTAAATCAATAAATTATACTTACATTTTAAATAACATGTCGAACTCTAAACAAAAATTATTATTATTATTGCGTTAATAATAATAATAATAAACTGTTGTAACATTTAAAAGGATGCTATTTATAGGAAATAAAACACCAAAAGTATAGCTAATAAAAAATGTTCAAAGAAACTAAACTTATGCACAAAATATATAGTAAGCAATGATCTTATATTTTAAAGTTTTAATAAATATTCACATCAATAAAAAGAGCTATTTTTTCAATCAATCAATTCATTCATTATTTGGTTAAAAATTTAGTAGAAAAGCGTTTCAATTGAATTTAATTATAAGATTTAAATCATATTTACATTAATATGTACGATAGATATTAATAGATATTAATATTGCTTGCATTCTATGTATTAGTTAATAGGTTTTATGCGAAACACCCAATTATTTGTTAGACTTTAATAATCTTAAGCTAAAAATACTGTGTTTTGCTTTCAAATTCTGATTACATAGTCTTCGTTAGTGACGAGTCGTTGTTTTTGGTCGTCTGAAGTGATTGTCTGAGTCTGTAGTTTGAGTCGTGAGGAGAATCTGTGGAGAAAACTGGAACACGACCTCAACATTAGACCCGACGAAGAGGAGGTCATCGACGAGCCAGTACTGGTCATACTGTCGTCGTCGTGCGATGACCACAGAGACGGACACTTATGCCTAAAATCTCTTCGGGAACTGTATTTGTGTGACGAATACATGTTTTGCATAACAAGCGTATAAACATTTACTACAAAACAATAGATGATAACAACAATAATAAGTGATGTCTATTCTCTTAGTGCAGAACCGAAATAACTAAAGACTTTTTGTAAAACACAAGAACTAAACTGTGGAGAAGGAAAACAAACATACAGTGACTTATGATTTCAAGTCATTCCCATCAGTGGTGGTAATCATCGACAGTAAAAATAAAGAAAGACATGAGAAGTCATTGAATAGTATTTGTCTTATTCTGAAATCACACACAAAAACTTAAGGGTTAGTTAACTCTTGCACTCGTATTTCACAGTCGATTCTGCATTGCATTCAATGTGTGCTGTGTTTTGGACACAAAATTATGACTTTATATCTGTTTTAAGTCTAATATAAACTTTAAGAAAAACACATCTCTTGTTAGTTATGATCGGTTTGAGAGTCGAGTCTAACAAACAGAGAGAGAGAGAGGCAGAGGAGAGGCAGTGGAGATGTGATCCGTTGCCAACACTGGCATAAACTATAAATCCTTTCAAATGGTGTCTATAAATAGATTTAGTGTTCTTTTGCCAAATCCAGTGATTGGAAGGCATTCCTCATAAGTGATGGCAACAAAAAATCTGATATATAAATAAAACATGAGAAAAAAGTTTGTATTCAAATACTATAGAAACATATCATATGATTCTTGAATGCAATACAAATGGAAACCACATTTCCTTTATATTCATTACATAATCATTTGCTTTACTGTTAACTCAGATAATTGTAAGACAATTGTAATACACGTTTTGTATCACAAAACCACTTCATAAACACATATATCGTATATTAATGTATGAATCGATTGAATCATTGAAACAATAGCTCTTCTCATTGATTGTGATGTTTTGCAAACTATGAGAGAAATGTCTGTAAAGACATTACCGGTCGGTTCGGTAGACATATTGCGAGACAATCGGCTAATCATTGTATAGAGTAATAGCATATCATATGATAATACAAATCAATTGCAATGCAATGGCATTGATATGAAAACACAGACAAAAACACACAACAAGAGTCTTGAGATAAATAACACACGAGAAGTGATATTATCATCTCATCGGTGGTCACTCACCCGTAATATACTTCTGGATCTGTACTTCTCGTAATTGCGGCGACTCTTATGGGACTTCTTGTGGTCGTGGTTGCGATCGGTGGCCGACGAGTATCTGTCATAACGATCACCATATGATCGGTTGTTGTGTCCAAACCTGTCGACAATGCGATCGTTGCGTTCTTTGCGGTTCCGACGCATCTTCGCTGAGGAGGAAGGCTTGACACGAGTGGTCGAAGAGTCAAACCATTCGTGTAAAAGTACTGTAAATAAATTCAGTTTCGCTCAAACCGGACAACACTTCCTCTCCGGTCAGTCAAAGACAATGAGAGACAACAGTATTGTGTGTATTGTATGACTGATTCACAACAAAATGGTTGTGTTTTCCGTTACCATAGAAACCAATGCATGAATTCTTGCATTCAAACACATTTTGTGTCATTTAATTGCAATCAATGCTTATATTATATGATTATATTAATCAAAACTAATAGCCATTCAATTGTCAGTACAGTTAACACTATATTAATATTTGTATCATTAGTCCGATTGCCCCCAAAACACCCCCAAAGACCCCCAACAGAGCCCACAAACCCTCTCCCCTTTGCGATGACGTTATTGTTGTAGAATTTGATGCTTTAGTCGATGGGATCAGTTGTGATCTCTTGTGGCGAGAATTGTCTGCAAATTATTGATTCAATAGATATTTATAGTGTTTTCAGTGTTTGACTCGTGTTTCACAGCTATAGTGATGTCTATTACTCCTAAGATATACAACTTGTCGACATTACTCGCGGCTCCCATTCCTCCGTGGATTCGTGTGGTTAAGGATCCCATCAAAAGACAGCTCAAGAATGAGCTCAAACTCGTGACCCTTAAGTCCGTGAAGAGAGTTGACGTCCGATTTGATCCCTTCCACCGCAACGTCTCATCCATTCGGTCAGTCATTGCAGCCATTCATGTATTTCTGTGTCAATCAACGCTTTTAATTGTCTTCGTTTTCACCCAAATCTTCAGCCAATTCTTGACAGCAATCAGTTCGTCGAAGACTCGCGCAACGAATCCAAAGTGTGGTCTCAAGACTGAAGTACTGTCCAAACGTGAAGAGCCGACCGTCACTGTATCGCTCGGTATTTATCACATGCCATGTGATTATTGTATATCTTATTAATTCTCTCTCTCTCTCTCTCTCTCTCTTTCTCTCTCTCTCACTCTCTAAACAACACTTTCGTCTCTTTCTGTCAAACGATTGAGTATTAAATTATAATTTTCGGTAAATCTATTTATAGACACCATTTGAAAGGATTTATAGTTTATGCCAGTGTTGGCAACGGATCACATCTCCACTGCCTCTCCTCTGCCTCTCTCTCGGGAACAGAAAGTGGTCAACGAATTATATTTAAGACGAGTCTATTGTCGACACTAGAAATCGCCGAAAATTATAATTTAATACTCAATCGTTTGACAGAAAGAGACGAAAGTGTTGTTTAGAGAGTGAGTGAGACATTGGATTGTTTGCTAATTATGGCGAACCCACACATCAATCATTTGGCCACTGATATGAGTATATTAAACAAATTATACCGAAATATCCCCGCATTTGATGAGCTCTTCGATGAACACACTTTCTATATATTCGCCTTCGTATTCACTCTCTCCTCCATTATTGTAGTCATAATTATCTCACGATTTATTAAACTAAAAGAAGTCGACTATTAGTAGTCATTTGGCTTTAATTATAGTCATGTAAAGTAGTTATGTTTTCAATAAATAAAAGTATCATTTAATGCCAATATCGTAATCTGCTTAAAACATGTGATATAAACTGCCCTAAGAATTGTCAGTTAATTGTTAGTTTCAATAGTTAATTATTGAATTAATAAAAGTGAGTTATATTTGCACATTAAATGTCATCCAAATTGTACAGATCCCTCTACGGCCAGGCGTGCGGTATAGTTGAGTGATTTGCCAATACTTTTACCGGTAAGTAAATAATTGACACAAAGGGATACATTTTCCGATGCAATTAATAACATATTAGTAAAATATTTGACAACAAATAAGGCAATAAAAAGTTTTATTTTTGTGTTGAGATCGATATACTTTTTTTTGGTATAAAAATGAAAATATTTTACTACAAATGAAATACTATATAAAAGTTTGTGACCTTTTTTATATTAATACTCTTTATGGTAAACATTAGGCACTAATTGTTTGCAAAATACAGAAAAACCTTGTACCTTGAAATGGTCGGGTCCTGACAAATGACTTCAAGATAGAAGGATTTCAAGTTAGAAAAATTCAAGTTACAATGTTTGAAATGGGTTAATTTTCAAGTTAGGAGTTTATTGTTTATGTTAGATGTAAAAATAGCGAAAATATATTAATAATTTCTCATTTTTTGAATTATATATTTGTTTTTCGCATTTAAACCTAAATATGTCCAGTAATTACGTTGATTATACACATTTTTTGTCAATTTTTTCATTTAAATGACGTAATTTTTGAAACTTCAAGATAGGAGTATATACAATAGCAATTG